GACTTCATCAAGATAAAAAGCTTTTGCAAAGCAAAGGAAACAGTCCACAAAACCAAAAGACAACCGACAGAATGGGAGAAGATATTTGCAAATGACATATCAGATAAAGGGCTAGTATCGAAAATCTATAAAGAACTCATCAAACTCAACACCCAAAGAACAAAGAATCCAATCAAGAAATGGGCAGAAGACATGAACAGACATTTTTCCAAAGAAGACATCCAAATGGCCAACAGACACATGAAAAAGTGCTCAATATCGCTCAGCATCAGAGAAATCCAAATCAAAACCTCAATGAGATACCACCTCACACCAGTCAGAATGGCTAAAATTAACAAGTCAGGAAACGACAGATGTTGGCGGGGATGCGGAGAAAGGGGAACCCTCCTACACTGTTGGTGGGAATGCAAGCTGGTGCAGCCACTCTGGAAAACTGTATGGAGGTTCCTCAAAAAGTTGAAAATAGAGCTACCCTATGATCCAGCAATTGCACTACTGGGTATTTACCCCAAAGATACAAAAGTAGGGATCTGAAGGGCTACGTGCACCCCGATGTTTATAGCAGCAATGTCCACAATAGCCAAACTGTGGAAAGAGCCCAGATGTCCATCGACAGATGAATGGATAAAGAAGAAGTGGTATATATATACAATGGAATATTATGCAGCCATCAAAAGGAATGAGATCTTGCCATTTGCAACGACGTGGATGGAACTGGAGGGTATTATGTTGAGTGAAATAAGTCAAACAGAGAAAGACATGTATCATATGATCTCACTGATATGAGGAATTCTTAATCGCAGGAAACAAACTGAGTGTTGTTGGAGTGGGGGGTGGGGTGGGAGGGATGGGGTGACTGGGTGATAGACACTGGGGAGGGTATGTGCTCTGGTAAGCGCTGTGAATTGTGCAAGACTGTTGAATCTCAGATCTGTACCTCTGAAACAAATAATGCAATATATGTTAAGAGAAAAAAAAAAGAAGAAGAAGGTAGTGGGAGGGGAAGAATGAAGCGGGGGAAATCGGAGGGGTAGACGAACCATGAGAGACGATGGACTCTGAAAAACAAACAGGGTTCTAGAGTGGAGGGGGGTGGGAGGATGGGTTAGCCTGGTGGTGGGTATTGAGGAGGGCACATTCTGCATGGAGCACTGGGTGTTATGCACAAACAATGAATCATGGAACACTTCATCTAAAACTAATGATGTAATGTATGGGGATTAACATAAGAATAAAAAAAAGTGATAAACAAGGGACCACATGTTTAAAGAAAAATAAACTTGGATCACTTTGTGTGTGTGTGTGCGTGTGTGTGTGTGTGTGGCAGTGAAAATTATTCCTTTGTGTTTTAAAGCAAATGCAGTGCTACTTTACTTGATTTTTTAAATCAATTCAGTGTCCATTTGTATAGTGTCTATATATGAGATGCTGACTTTCAGTCCTGTCTCCAATTAGTACAAAGGAGCCATAAAATTCCTCGAAACAAAACATTTCATTAGCTTAAGTATTAAATATGTTGTTCAACGCATTTTCAACGTGTGGGTAGAAACAAGGTTAGGGGGTCATGAAATTAAATAATAATATTCAAGATTATCCTTGGGACAGCTCAGAACCAAGGCCTTCTGAGAATAGGCAATCTTCTGTCATTATTTCACAACTGCGTACCCAAATATGCTCATAATTTACATTCTGAGGATATAAGAAATGTGAATCTACTTATTCTTATGCAGAAAAGAAATTCTACTACCGTGAAATATTCTAATGGAATAGAAATGGGTTTCTTTTTTATCACAATAAATCTAAACATTTACCTGTATTTAAAGTGGTGTTTTCAAAATTGGAAAAAAGCACTGCAATTTAAAAAAAAAAAAAAGGTGGTGAACGTACTTGTCTTTAATTTCTTCGCAATCCAAGACCTCGGTTTAAAAGAAAAAAATTAAGAAAGAAAAAATGAGAAAGTAATTGCTATGTTTCATTAGGAATTTTAGTAGCAATTCTTCTGTTCAAAAGTTATTCATTTGAATTAAGATTATGAAGAGCACATTACTTCTTAATGGTGGTATGTGATAGTTATCTCTCTAAAAGAATGATCTCACTCAGGCACATGCTTTCCATTAAATATTTGTTTGTATATTGGCTTTCTATTGTTCCTTTTAGTCTCCTCAAATCTCTTTTAGGAGAAGGAGGGGTATCAATTATACAAAAGGGTATATTGCAACTTCTTTCTAAATGGGAATGGAAGGATGGAGGGAAGGAAACTAAGATTTGAGTTCTTGTGAAGTGAAAGAAATTCTGTCACATATTCTCATTTCATTAATTTAACTCTTTCAACTCAATGAACAATCATGTGAAGTCAGTATTATCCTGGCTTTTTTATATGAAGAAAAAACTTGCTTTTCAACACATAATGAATATTTAGGGCCGATAAGATGCAACTCCAGGGTCATGTGGATTTCAAATTCCCTACTTTCCACTTCATAGAAATAAGACCCATAAAGAGAGCATTGACTCTTGCCTTCCGGCACAGTGAACTTCGACCTGAAAAACAAGGGCAGAAAGAAAGGAAGATGCAGATCTGGGCAAGTAAGGAAAAAGGGGCAAAAATTCAGTCCATAGTTCATCTTTTTTGAGTACAGAAACAGTTCTGTGTTAAAGATGTTCACTCTCTAATTCGTATTTGGATCTTAAAATAAGAAAATTCTGAAAGAGCCCAGTCTGATAAAGGATCCCAACAGGGAGAATTTCAAGGGGCTGGGAGTTAAAATAGTTTTGAAAAATTTATTTTCAATAAGTTTTCAATAAATTTTCAATAAATCGAGAGCTCTGGCCTGATGCTGGCCTGGCCTCAGGAGGGGGGTCCAAGGGGAGGGCAGGATTCTTGGCAAAACCGGTGAAAGGGACCTGTTCTCTCCCTCCTTGCAATGCAGTGGTTTTCGAGCTTGCTTGCATTTTCGAATCACCTGGGAGACTTGAAAAAATTCTTGAGGCCCTCCCCCCAAGAAATCCCGATTGAATTGGGCTAGAAGGTGGCGTGGCTATATAAGGTCTTTTAAAAAGCCTCGCTGGTGATTCTAATGTAGAGCCAGAGCTGAGACCTGCTCAGAGAGGAAGAATGTCCTCACTACCTAAGTGGTCCTCCTCAGCTAGAAAGGCCTGTGTCCTGGCTGTGGAAGGTGACTGACAGTAAATCACACCCAAGAGCACCTTTGTTTCCCAGTGGTATCTAAAAATACAGAAAATCAGGGGCGCCTGGGTGGCTCAGTCGTTAAGCGTCTGCCTTCGGCTCAGGTCATGATCCCGGGGTCCTGGGATCGAGCCCCACATCGGGCTCCCTGCTTGGTGGGAAGCCTTTTTCTCCCTCTCCCACTCCCCCTGCTTGTGTGCCCTCTCTGGCTGTGTCTCTCTCTGTCAAATACATAAATAAAATCTTTAAAAAAAATTAAAAAATAAAAATACAGAAAATTGGTGAACCGTCATGAGTAATTCTCAGCCCACTGTAGGCATCTATGTCTCCTCTGGGGAACCCTGCAGATGTGACTGCGCAATCTTCTCATCTGGGGTGCAGAGTCTTACGTCTCAAAATGTGGTCCTGCGTTAACAGCAGCACCAGCATCAGCTGGGAGCTGGTTTGGGGATGCTGAGTCTCAGGCTCTGCCCAGACTTCTTGCCCGAGAAGCCGCATTTCAACAAGACCCCAGGTGATTCAGATGTACATTACAGTTTGAGAAGCATTGCTGTAATAGAAATAACACGTATTTATTAATTTTTTGGTAAATTGTTTAAAGTTAGCTATAAAACTGACATGCATCAACACAGTACAGTAGGAATAAATATTTCAAAATCAGGACAGGAAAAAATATGCATTAGAAGAGGATATTAAGAAAAGGAGCAAAAATTAGTACATAGATAATTAAATCATAAGGAACTTTTGAGTGAAATTGTTAAGCACAAATCTGAATCTAAATTTCCTAGACTCCAAAGAGGAAAATATATAGTTCATATTACCCAAGGGCAGAAGAAATTATTTTTCACTGGGCTTCACGAGGGCACTAAGTTTTGGTGAAAAGTATCTTTAATAAATACCAGCGTGAAGTCAAAGACATTCCGCTCATGCCACTTTCTAAATGTCTTCAGAAGACAAGTTATCTAACTTCACCAGCTCTTAGCTTCATCATTTTCCAAGATGGGCATAGTACTTTCAATCCTACCAGACTGTTTTGAGGACTAATTGCAGACAGCATGATATGTCCCACTTCCTTGGGCTCAGAGTAAATTGACATTTTGGTTTTGATTCTAATAAAGTCGGTCAAAGCTTAATTTTGCTATCTAAATCACAGTTTTCCATTTTGAAGAATAAAGGTGTGGGTCTTAGCCTAGCAGGTATCAAATCTTATTGAAATCTATAATCATTAGAAGAATATTATATTGGTTCAGAGACAGAGACATAGATTAATGGATTATGAGAGTGGCCAAAAGCAGACCTATGGGTATATCAGAACTGGAAATAGAACAGGGGAGCACTATAAAGCAGTAGAGGAAATGATGTTCTTTTCCATAAGCAACATTTTGACATGTGGAAATTCTGTATCACACTTTATACAAAAATAAATTTTAATCGGATTGAACAATTAAAGGCGAGAATGTGAGAAATTAGAAATAAATCAAACTCTCATCTCTCTCTCTAGAGAGAAAGAGATCTCGTATCTCTAGAGAGAGATGATATAGATAGATGATAGAGAGATAGATGATAGACAGATGATAGAGGTAGAGAGAGAGGAAGAAAAAAAACAAATGAATGAGATCTAGTTCTGTATCAAATGGATAACTTTAAAAAGCTAATGTTGGGTGAAATTGAAGGCAGAAACATAGAATATGATAACATTTATGTAAATTTTAAACACATCACTACTTTATATCATTTATGGACACACACATGTATAGTAACAGAAAAACATGGATAAGCAGTTTCTTTTATTATTTTTTTTTTATTTTTTTGACTCCTGATTTTATTATTCAATTTCTCTTTTCTATTTAAAGTAGTCTTTGGTGGCTAGGAAGCCTGGCCTCCCAAGACCAGAGTCAGTTGGAGCTGGTTGTTGTTGGAAGGGGTTGGGATGGGGACAGGGATGGGGGCAGGGAGACCCTGCTCTGTTGGCTGTTCTGGGTGGAGAAGACAAACTGCACTTCACAGAGCCTGGGGTGTGGTGGGAGGGGGACGAGGCAGGAGCAGCAAGCTGGGGAGATGGGACACACCTCAGTCCCCAGCTTCATTCCCCTCTAATGTTTCCCCACTGGTGGCATTCTCTGCAGTCCTGGAGACCTTCTTTTTTTTCTTTTTCTGGGTTTTCTGACTTGCAGAACTCTGGAGGAGGGCCTTTAGCTCTGCATCCTGGACCTCCATCTCAGACTTGTAGAGGTCAGGCTCAAAGGGACCACTGGTTATTTGCATGGGGCCATTGGGCATGAGCAGGACTGTAAATTTAAACTGGGCAACAAATTCACCCTCCTTCTCATAAAGAACATTAAATGGCTGCAGCAGTTCGTGTTTGGCGCTCTCCACCACACCCACCCGGGCCTTCTTCTCATCTTCAGATGCTCTTAAAGTAAATGGCATGGTGTCAAAACGCCTTTCAACCTCACTGAAGAAGGCACATGAAGTTTTCATTTTCAGGCCATGCTGTTTAGAAGGGTCTTGTTTGTAAATGGCGGTTCTCTGTCCTGCATCCTTGGCCTTGCCCTCTCCTGAGCTGACAAGAACATCCACAGCATATACTTCACGTACCTCCAATTCAGCTTTTTCATGGTCCTTCTTCTGCTGGTCTGTGGGATTCTGGATAATGGTTTTCTCTCCATCGATGACATGCTGCTTCAGTTGATGGGACAACATACCTTCTATCGGTGTGCAGTTAAACGAGTGGGCGGCCTTGTTCCAGGCTCCTGTCACTTGTGTGTCCTGGTTTCCAGGTTTGACCAGGCGTAGGGCAGCTTCAGCGCAAAGGTGAGCTGCCTTAATGACATCTGCTTTCCGCCCTGTTACTTGGGTCCCCTGAGCCACATCCACCACGAGAAAGCGTGAGCCCCGTTAGCGATGAAGCCATCCACATGGACCCCAAGGTCAACTTTTACCAAGTCGCCTTCCTTGAGAATATAGTCCTGGTGGCTCTTCAAAGGGGAAAAGTGACATACACAGTTATTTACTGAAATGCTGGTGGGAAAGGCAATACCTTTCTTCATTTCTTTTTCTTTCTTGAAAATTTTCCCTGTCTCTTCATAATCATGGCATCACCTTTCTCATACAGGCTCAGTACCGACACACCTGAGCAGGATGCTGCCACCGAAGACCCAAGTCGTCTTGCAAAGCCACCTCTCCTAGACACAGGGCTCTCATGTTTCCAGATTAGTTTATGGGGCACATTTCTTCCCACAACCGCTGAAAGACCTGTTTAGCCACAATGGGCTAAAAGCCCACATCAGACTCTGCATTCAGGAAACAGAATCTAAAACACGAGGAGCAAAGGTTTAAATAACAGAGCTGACAGCCAAGAGTTACTTTCCCACACCTTTGGCAGTGTGTACAGATCTTTGACATTTCACCAAAGCTAAATGTTCCACTCTAGAACCTGACTCGTTCTTTACTATTTTTATTGTGTTGCGGCTTAAAAAAATTGCCAATTAAGTTAAACGAAACTGTCGCACAATCAGCTTCTATAATTACCATCAATGCTTTATGATAGGCTCAAGCAAACAGAGGGTTTGATTTTTTTTTTTTTTTTTTTGCCAGAGTTGTAGTTTCTTTTTGTAGAAACAATTATCCTGGCGGTGCTTCCCAGCAAAGGGAACACATAGCCCGAAGCCACTGCATATTTCATTTTCAGTCCAGCAGTTTCAGAGTTCTCGCTTTTCCCAGTGACTGTTCAGTGGGAGGAAAAGACAACCCAAGGCCTTGGGTAAAGCACGGTATGTCACAAAGCAGGCAGCGAGGCCACCAGGAGCTGGACGAAAAGAACACTGCCCCGGTCTGGTGCCGCCAGCTTCCGAAAATGCACATTCACCCACAGGATGGAGTGATGACAGGTTAAGATCCAGTACCACAACCAAATTCATGTGTTCCTTCTCCAGCAACAGATGTCACCAAGCATAAGGATACAAATCTAATGTTACATTTACTAACATTAGCAACGAATGGTAAAAGACACATAATAAATTGCATTGGGAATGTATTGGGTTTAAACTTCCTTTCCATCACCTCCTGGTTGAATGAGTAACCAGTCTCAGTTTTCCCACCTGTAAAATAGGGTTACCAGTAGCATTTAGCTCACAAAGCTATTTTGAAGATTAGGTAAGTGAATGGGTTGACTCATTTATTCAACAAATATTTATTGAGCAGTTACTATGAGTCAGATGCTGTTCTAGGTGCTGGGGATGCAACTATGAACAAAGCAAACAAAATAGGCCAAAGGAGTTTAAGGGAATATTAGCTGAGACAGTGCTCAGCACATAATAAGCACACGAAAAATGTTAGCTATGTTTTTTATGTGATATTATTTTACTTTTGCATATGGATTTTGTTTTTGTTATTGTTACCTATTATATTTTACCCACACCATGGTAGCATATTTTATTATTGACACATCACTTGTGGGAAAACTGAAGTTCAGAGAGTCCAAGGAATTTGTACAAGGTCAAATAATTAATATGTTGGTCAATTTTCAAACCTGCGTTTATGGGACTTGGGTCCATGTACTTCCTAAACTCAGAGCACAGTGTTGATTTCTAAGGAGTCCAGGGTCTATGCCTCTCAGCTACGATCGGCTGTGGATTCAGCATTCCCCTTGTTTCTAGATCATGGTACGATGGTATGATCCAATTCTTCATTTATACATGGTGATCGGGAGCTAAATGTTGTAGGCATCATCCTTTACCTGGAGAGAAAATCAGGATAGAAGTAGTGAAGAAAAGGTCAGACTCAGGTAATTATAAGGAAGAACATTTCTACAACTAAAGTGATTGGACTTTGGTACGGGTTACAGTATGGGCTAGCATAATCAGTGGTGAATTTCTTGTCCTTGAGATGTTCAAGGAGAAGCCAAAAAAGGAGAATGTAGCCCATGGGATTTATATATCTGTTAGGGGGTTGGTCCAGATTTCCTACTTCCCAAATCTGGCTGATTCGGAGAATCTTTCAAAGACCTTGATAAAAATAAAGATTCTCTATATTTCTGAATCTCTGGGTTCAGAATCTCTAGTTCTCCCAGAGTTCTAGAATATCTGGAGTATTTAATATTTAGCTCAGAGAACTGTCTTGATGATTATGTCAGCTAATAATATATCTACCTATTAATTTAACAAATATTTATTGAGCAGTTACTATGTGCCAGGTCCTGTCTTAGGAGCTGGGGATATAACAATGAACAAAACAGTCCTTCACTTAAAGGAGCTTAGAGGAAAATGTCCAGCACAGAGCTCAGCACATAATAAGCATGTAATGAATATTAGCTATGATTTTTGTACTAGCATTATTTAGTTAAACAGATTCATGAGTCATCTCTGGTCTTCTAATGTAGGCTGTCCTTAGATACTCTGAACTGAAGGATCAGCTCCGGGGTGTGACCCTTTCGGGTCTTAGGAAGGACATCTTGCACAAAAACTCTACAAGCATTTCTTGACTGCCTGATGAGTGAATATACCACCAATGTTTATTCATCTGCATCACTGAGTTGTAGAAAAGCTGAAAACAAAAGCACGAACTGGCAGCTTTCTGGAAGTGCCACAACTTTCTTCTAGACTGTGGACTCCCCGGGGGGCAGGGTCCACGTCTATTCCTGCTCTGTCCCCACAGTTTCTAGGACACCACCTCGTACAAAACTGGATATCAAAGAAGTTTGTTTAGAGAATGGATAAATAAATTAGGGCAGTGTTTTCTCACTTGCCGGATCATAAGGTTCATCCAGAATGACTTAAAATACTGATTCTCATTACCCTCCCCAGGCCAACTAAGTCAGAATTTCAAGGTGAGAGGTCTCTGGGAATCAGTGTGTTTAACAACTGGCCTCCCTGAGGGGCCCTGGTGTCAGGAAAGTTAGGGATACACTGATGTAGGCTGAACTTCCCTGGGTTGGCTAGACCTGAGGACACTCTCAAGTGGGTTGACCATCAGGGACACTGGCCTGGAAATCAATTCCCATGCTTGGCTTTCCCCAGTTCATTTCTGCAGCTGCCATCCATGTGGAGACCAGGGGTGGCAGTGGCTCATGCTGAAATAGGCACTTGAGCTTAATTCGCCTTGCTTTTCTGTTTCTTTCTCCCCTGTGCTAAGCACCTATTTTAGAAGAATTTCCAAAGAGGCCTCCTAAATGCTCATTTTAAGAAAGGGAGAGAAGCTCTAAGAAACGCACCTTTTTTTTTTCTGCTAAAATAAAAACCTGTATTTTCTTCTTCTCCCACTGATTAGGATCTCAGCATTCCACCAAGACAATCTCCAAAAAAGGAAAAGCAAATGAGCAGGGCTGTTTCTGAGGATATGAAATACTTTACAATTAAATAAGGTACGGTCGGGCTTGGGGCTGATCACCGGTGATGGGAAGGTTTCTGCGAGGCTGCAAATGAATTCAGCGCGGGACAGCGTTCCAAATGGCTCCTACAAGCTTTCCCTTTATTATTTTTATTTGGTTATGTGCTGACTCTCATCCAGAATTACACTTAATGCCCTAGTCTGAAGTTGTTGAAATGGCCCCCCATGGCCTAGTGTGACAGTGAAAGGATATTGCCTTTGGAAGCTGCTAATGGTCCATGAAAAGGGAACAGCCACGAACAGGAAAGCAATGCTCCAAAACAATGTCGGATAAAAATATTTACGTCTTCGCTTTCATGTCCATTTATTGAGAGAGAGAGGTGTGATCACAGGGAAGGCAAAGGTTTCCAAGACAGGCAAAGGTAAAAAGAATGCAAGCACCCAAGGTTAAAATATACCCACATTCACGCACACATTTTTCTACGGTTCATAATTAAAAGACAGAATTTACATTTGGAAGCCTAATGGAGCTCCAGACTCTGAGCACCGAAGGGAAAGAGCTCTGGGGCTATAATGGTAAGAATGGTGGTCAGCTGTGGGCAGGATCCTTAATTCCTTTATCTAACCCGTGTGCATGGGCACTTAGGAGGCACCGGGCCATGTGCTAGGAGCTGGGGATGGGGAAGTGAGTAAGGTGGGTCCCCACCCAGAAGGAGCCCCCTGTTGGTGCGGAAGAGAGACTCAACACACATCTTCTGGTAACTTGACAGGTCAGAACAAAATGCCGGAGGGGCCCAGGAGCATTCAGAATTCAAGGAAGAGCAGGCATCGGAGGTTGTACATTGCCAAGAAAAGGTGAAGAGAGGTGTTGGGCAGGAGGAGAGGGGAGTGGTAAGAATGTTCTAAGCAGAGGGAAAGTTAGGTGCAAAGACACAGCATGGATAAAGGGTTGATGAGTTGATAGAGTTTTGAGATGTTCAATGTGGAAGAAACAAGGGGTGCTCATGGGAAGAAGGTCCAGGTAAAGCTAAGGCAGGGGAGTAGGGGGAGATGGGCAGCAGAGAGACTCAGAGAGAACTTGTCAGACACCATACAAGTCTGACTGGCTCCTAGTAGCCAGCCAACCCTTCACTAACGACAAGGGCACTCACATACTCTCCTCTTGCTCTTAGCGAGTGTTTGGCTTTAGTGTCTTTAGTGAGAGTATGAGAGAAAGCATCTATTACCTTTTGCCTCTAGAACATGACCCCCATTACATTTGCCTCCCACCAACACTCTCAAAGGGAAGATGGGAAGACATTCCAGCCAGAAGTAATCTCTTACTAGAAGAGAATAAGAAGTAATCAACATCATCATTTGAAACTCAGTTATGTAGCAATTTTATCCATTCATAACAACTGACATATATTAAATGCTTAATATGTACCAGACTCTATTGTGTTTTTAATGTCTTTTTTTATTAAATCCCTCCAACCACATTATGAGGAAGTACCTCTTTTCTTCTTGTTGTATAGGTTGAGGAAACGGAGTCACAGAGAAATTATAAGCCCAGACTTCACAGCTAGTCCATCTGGCCCAAAGGACTCCAGAACGTGGCCTTCAGCCAGAATAGAGAAGAGAAATGAATGGCCAGAGAGCCTAAAAATATTCTGAGAAGCTGAGATAAATTAGTACATATTTATGTTAACTAACAAAACTTATTCATTAAATCCCTTCCCACCTTCCCCCTCCCACCACCCCCACACGTGATTTATATGACTTGTGTATGTTCTGAAGTACAGTTATTTTGGTAAGTGTTACAAAGACATTTTGGCATCAATTCAGAAATGCCATGGTTTATTAAAGATTAACGGATAGAGAGCTGGAAGACCTGAGTCTTAGTCTTAGTTCTGCTACTAATTAACTGTTTAATTTGCTCAAACCAATTGCTTTCCTTTTCTGGATTCAGCTTCCCCACCTGTGAAGTGCATTGGGGTGAGGAGCTACTGAGGTTTCCTGGAAGGTTAGTTAAGGAGGAAGATGTTAATCTCTGTCTTGACAGAGCCCAGGACCCAAGACCACAGCCAGTGGTCCCATGTCCATGCCTCTTAGATAATCATAAATTTTCTTTCTCCCATTAGTTATAGTCTCCCATTAGTTATAGTTGAGATGATTCAGTATACATATTTAAGAAGACCCAAGAATCTATTGGCTGATCACTTGACTATGCTCTTATAGGTATGGTAGACTTATTCCATGTTACTTTTGCATGAGACTAACTAATTTGAACCAATCTAAACTTGTACTGTCCAGTATGAGGGCCACTAGCCGCATGTGGCTACAAGCACTTGAAATGTGCTTACTCTAAGTGAAGAGGGGTTGAAAATGTAAATACACATCAGAGTTTAAAGCTTTAATAGGGAAAAAGAATGTAAACTATCTCAACAATTTTTATAGTGATTACAAATTGACTTTCCCATTCTGAAGAAACAACAATATACGTTCAATGAATCAATAAACAGAAGTAATTGAGGGGCAGTACATACAGGCATTCATGCGCACACAGTTCAGAGGGTTGAAAAAAACAAAAGCCTTTATGGTCTTCAGTGGATGAACATTAGTAAATATAAAAATGCCTTCAAATTAAATTTAAATGTGCATCTTACTGACCTAGTGTCTTAGTCTGCACCCATAACAAAGCACCACAGACTGGGTGGCTTAAACAACAGAAATTCATTTCTCACCGTTCAGGAGGCTGGAGGTCTGAGATCAAGATACTGACCAATTCCATTCCTGAAAAGGGTTTGCTTCCCGGTTTGCAGTAGGCCATGGTCTTGCTACATTTTCACATGACGTTTCCTCTGTACACACACACATACGCACACAGAGATCCTCCTCTTTTATAAGAACAGCAGTCCCATTGGGCTAGGGCCCTCACCCCATCTCTAAATATGATCACATTGTGGATTAGGGCTTCAACATGAATCTTTGGTGGAGGGGGAAGCAATTCAGTCCATAACACTCAGTGTGGCTATCCTTTGTTGAAAAGCGTAGGATAATTTACTTTGTAACTGCCTACATTCCATGTTGCCTAGAAATGAAATTTTAATTTTCCAGTGTAACCATAACTTGGCAGTTTCAATCTTGAGTATTTTTTCATCTCCTCTTCTTCCCAATACAACAACAACAATAATAAAATAATAATAATAACATTTAGGAGGAAAAATATTACCCTAAGGGACAGCCATGTTTACTGTGTAGTGATTTCCCAACAGAAATTAATTCTAAGCAAATTTACATTCTACATTTAAAGAAGGTATAAATAATTCATATTTTCATATCATCAGCACTGTGCATTTCCTACACCAGGGTACCTGTAATTTTTTCAGCTTATCTGTTCTAAATTTTGGTTCCATAGCTCATTATCACATTGTTTGTGCTTCTGTTCCAAAGTGGTAATTTAATAGTCTTCCATAGAATTATGTTCAATTAAAACGTTTTTGGTTTTAACATTCAAAACCTTTCTAGTTTTTAATTTAATTGCTGTAACTTTGTTTGTATGTATCATTGACATACCTTATTTCTTCACTGCACTCACACAAATACCAAACCTTCCGAGTAAATAAAACCTTCGACAGCTAGGAGTGTGCCCAGCTTCTTCTCCCTCCGCACCATGTGACTCATTCGCGCCAGCCTCTTCGAAGGGACTGATTCAGCAACATTTTCTGTCTAACATCTTCAGCATTTTGATTCCACAGTCTCTTTAATGGGCTGCACAGTGCAGAAAACGGAGTTGAATTTTTTTTTTAAACTCCTGTTGCTTTTCTGAAAAGCCCAAGAAACCTATTTATATCACAGTGCTACATTCAGCATCAGTCTGCATGTTACATATTCATGGCATAGATCTAGATAGATTTACAAGCAAGAACCCAGGGAATTCCAAGCTGTAAATTGCAGAAACCACACTGATTTCTTCACAAAAGTTTGCAAATTGTAGGTTGTGGTTTTTGTCAGGGAAGCTATCTAAAAGTTGCAAAAGCATTCCATCTACTATCTACAATATTTTCACTTTAAGTGAAAGTATTTCAAAGAGGACATGACATGCCTTGAGTTATAGAAAAAAGTCAAGTGGGATAGAAAAGGTAAGATGTAGAATTTTAAGTCCAATTTCACTTACTGCACCTAAGGAATGATGAAAATTTTAATACTATCCATAGTGATCTATATGTCAAATAACTGTGGCAAAAATAATACAATGATAATTTACGGAAGCAAACAAATCACCTACCTGGCCCTCTGGAGGTGGTAAAGCCACTGATCCCTGAGGTCTCCAAGATTACAACATAAGTGACTCCTGCAGAGAAGATTCGCTGACCCAGGATTTCTATTAATACCCTAAGAACCCACTAATCGCCACTAACCCCCTTGAATTTTGTCCACCCCTATTGATGGGTAAAGATGAATGAGGAGCATGGAGGTCCGACGTGTGGAAGGACAATTCTAGAGCAGCTGAAAGTCAAGGGAGGGATGTGATGGGGCTGTGGACTCATGACTTGGGAGTAGGAGATACACCTTGCCTGTTCACTGAAGGTAACAAAACCCACAGCACCGGCCTTCTTGACACCCCCATGAACCTTGTTACTAATGTAGTGACTTCCTGGACTCCTGGCTACAATCGCTTGCAGAAGGATGAGTCCCTCTCTGTGGAATGCCTGGATCAAGTTGCTTACAGGTACTAAGAACTCCTTTGGTTCTTGCTAAGTTGCCATCTTATTTGAAAGGATCAAAAGCCCACAATTTATGATGATATAAATACAGACCTTTGAAAATATGGGGATGGGTGGGCTTAAAGCACTGTAATAATTCCATTTTCTTAATCCAAAAAGGAAAATGACTGTAATTAGGCTGAGTTGTCTGCCAAGTTTCAGCCTGGAGGGACTATTTTGGCCAAGATATAAACCCCTGAGAAGAGAGGCTCATAATGGACGCATCAAATCACACTTAACTATGGCAGAACAAGTAGCTGCTTTGTAATGCAATCACTCAATGATCATGCCTTATGTTAGCATTTTAATTAAAATAAAGAATACTTCCTCCTTTTTACTGTCTATCACCCTCTTCTCAGATATTATTACCAGATAGGACATTTAGATTAACCAAAAAAACTCTGTGAAGTACAAAAGTAGAAATGAAACATCACCTTCCTCATGCCCCTACTTACAAGATACCTTCATCAAGGCAGACTGGGAGGCAAAAAGAAAAAAAAATTAGGTAAGATAAGCTTCAAGAAAAATTCAGGTTTTGGCGTATTCATGCCTCAATCTATGCAGTGTAAATCTCAAATTCACTGGGGATATAGAGAATTTCATTTTTAGGGAAGTTGAGTATAGTTTAATTAATTATAGCTGCGGAGCACTAACTGGAACCTTAATGACTTGAGAGAATGAATTCACCTCCCAATGAGCCTAACCTCCTCTCAGGGAAAATTTACACAGAGGGAAAATCAAAATGATTATTAAATGAAATTACTCAGTGCAGTCAGAAACTGCAGCTACACCACGATTTCATGTCCCATCCAATGGAAAGCTCCAAAGCCAAGTGGCACCTGGTTTACAGTTCTAAAGCACAGCTTAGATGAAAGCTCATAACAGCACCAAAGCTTATCCTGAAAGGTAATCACATCTTGATATCTAGGGGTAATTGACATGTGTGATGAGCAGGGTATTATTCAAAATATTGTCATCAGACATGAGCATAAACCAACCAAGACAGATGCTGGCCATAAACAGAGTCTAATAGTCATAGTGGGAGGTACTGGGCAAACATCAGTTATACAGAAGGTGGAATGGGGTTGAAAGGAATTTACCCAGGTTTCGTTAAAGGAGACTTTTATGAAACCAAATGAGACCATGAGTGAAGAGGAAGGAGAAAGATGCTTGTGTGTCTCCCCAAATCGATCCCCTGACCTGGTGCTGTGAAGCCTACAACTGTGAAGGAATGGACATCCTCTCCACCTCTGTGCTGTTGAAGTCTTCTGGAAGGTGGCTGGAGGATAAACCCCTGCTCTCTTCCCTGTCTCATCTTCCCACATCCATACAGGGGCTGAAAATTCCAGAAAAAAATCCAAGATAGAAAAAGGAGCTAGGGGAGGGCCGATGGTGGTACACTGCATTCTGAGGAATGTCCCTCAAAACAAAGCACTTCAGTCAGAGGCACAAGTGAGAAGAAACCTAGAAATAGCAATTTTGAAAAAGAGGAATAAAGTTGAGAGATTCAGTGATTTTAAAATCTATTACAGAACTCCAGAAGTTAAGACAATATGGTAATGGTGTAACAATAGACA